CTCTGACCGCACATGCACCCTGGTATGTGCACATGCCCATGTCCACATATATTCACATTTACACACACACATACACAGAGATAAAAATTAAAAATATATATATATTGATATGCAGTCAGGTTAACTGAGCTTTTGGCAGGGGCTTTTCACCATAAGCAGCATTTGAGACTTGGTGAATGTCCAGACAGGGATGTGTTCCATTACTGAATTTCTGACATAAGAAAACTAACAGCAACTTGATGAGAATTCGAGAAATTTAATTTCTCTGGCTAGGAAGCACCAGAGTCCTGTTTGAGTGGGTGCTGATGGGTGTATGAGTGTCTCATCGAGTTCAAGTTCAGTGTGAGATGAAGGCAAAACTGTCATACAAACTAAGACTCAATTCTCCAGCAGCTGAAGTCATAGGGCCTCCTGCTTTCTGGGAAGATGGGGATTAGCCTGGTACGAGTCTCTCTCTGTTCTTTCCTTCCTGTAGAAAAGAATCCAGTCAAGAGATAGAAACAGTTTAAGCAGAAGTTTATTTAGCAAAGCAAGCACTCCAAACAAGGCTGGAGTGGGCCGTCTCAAGGTGGGGAGCTACCTATCAGGTCATAGTGTAAATTTTAAAGATGTTTTAATGAATATTTATGAGATAGCATATTCGTGGGGTAAGTTGATGTTTTTTCCCCTGTCAAATCACGGTGGTCCAGATTTCCCTTTTAATATGTCTTCCCATGATTCTCTAGGAAAGCCTACAAAAGGGGATGTGCCAAAACCACAATGCAAGGGATGTACTGAGTGGGTCTTTTGAGGATTCAGGCCCTTCATTAGTGCACACAGGTGGGAAAATGCCGGGATAGCTTAGTTTCTCATACAATGGGAACTTAACTGCAGCTTCAAGGCTGTTTAGACCCAGAGGCGCAATCTGACCCTCCTGATCTGACCAGCTGACTTAACCATTTGCAGCCTGCTTATGGAAGTCTCCTGGGTTTCCAGTGTCCACTTTTACCTCCAACATCCATCTGTGGGGAAAGGAAGGTGAGGGTGAGAGCTGGCAACACCATGCATCTGCAAAGCCTATGGCTGCTGCTCTGGTCTGGGGATCTAGAGAGGTCTGGGCTTCAGCCCACCTACTATGTGCCAAACACTGTGCTAGGCACCAGACAACCCAATAGCTAGCTACAGGACACAGCACCTAGCTAGCATCCCCTGGAAGGTCTGCCTATGCTATCCACCCATGATGAAAGGATGCCTACAGAGGCCAGAAAGCCTGACCTACAGCAAGATAGGTACCCAAACTCTGAAGACCCCCCTGACTTCCTTGCCCTATTCAAAATCCCTCTTCACCTAGCAGCTTTCAAATTTCAGTTCTCATAGCAAGGTATCCCTCTCCCTATGGGCCTGGAGCACTACCCAGTGGTGCAAGCCAAGCTCCCCACAGCTGTTCAGAATCACAGGCCAGCCCATTTCCTCCAAGGTCACCAGTTTCTTTATCTGGACACATACACCCCCCA